GTTCTTACCCACGAAAGCTTATGCTCCCAGTACTTCTGTTAGTCTCAAAGGTGCCACAGGACCCTCTGTTGCTTTTTACACTGAGTAGAGAATCGTTATAGTTTGTGTCCAGAGTCTTAATAAAATGCTAGCATATGTCACTGGAATAGTAGAACCAGGGAAAGCTCTTGCTCCAAGTTCCCCACAGGATCACAAAGGAAAGTTAGAGTCACCAGTGATCTGCCATGTGGAAAATATTCCCACTTATTATCTAGTTTAGTTTGTTTTTACTGCTCCCCTGCTGACCTGAACAGATTATTCACCAGCGGGGGCATTTCTAACTCCTGTTTATATAATTTTGGTCCATGTTTATATGAAGGCAGCCAGTTGTACTTATTTTACCTTTGGTGTTTTAGGAACCAAGTTAATGTGCTTGCCATAAAGCTACATCTTGCAAGGTTTTTGTTTTCTTTATCCCAAGTTTATGTTTCTGTAAAGTAGCCTAAGTGAATTTAGTGCTGCATTGGAGAGTCGAGGTGTTTAAAGAATAGAAAAGAACACATGCAGCAGGAGTGCAAGCTTCTCATGCTGTGCTACAAATGGAACCTAGTGGAACCACTCCCTCTTCCAGTTCAGTCCGGCCCCCTTTGCTTATACTGCCAGAAAGAGCATTAATCAGCACCATTTACGAGGGGTTTGTGGGTTTTAGGAAATGGACACTTGTCCACTGGCACCTAGAATGAAATCACTCTTGTATTTCATAGATACCATACAACAGATGGTACTGACTGGGCTGCATTCAAACTAGTGACCAAAGACAGATTCTTGCACCGCTGAAGTCTGTGGGAGTTTTTCCATTGACTTAAATAGGCACAGGACTAGGTTCCAACAGACTAAAGGCTTTGGTGAGATGCAGCTCAGAGGCACTGCACAGAACACAATGGGGAGAGAGCTGTACGTCACCTTTGTATCCTACTGATCCTCGGCTCCTCCAAAGGCTGAAGAGGCCCCTGACAGGCCCTGAGGACTTGTCTAAGTTACAGCAGCCTCCTCAGGTTGCCGCATGGGCCACAGCACTGCCTGGAATCTCTGCAGTGCAGTGTTCTGTGGTCCTGTCCCTGACACGCCCTTCTCTCCCCCAGGCCCACCCGTGGCATATGCCCTACGCCAGGGCTTTTGCAGGGTCCTCAGGAGACAGCCTTACATTTGTCTTCTGCAGTGCTCTCAGAGGAGAAATCCTCTGCCAGCCAGACATGGTGCTTTTAGGGCCCCTTTCCCTGACCGTCTCTCTCACCCTCCATATTCCAATACCATTTCCCTGAGCCATTCAGTCTTTCGTTTTAACTTTTATTGGAATGTAATAAATACAACTTACACTATGATTTTTTAACTGTTTTTGATTTCCAAAAAGTTTGTGGTTACCATAAAATGGTAACTGCAATACTAGATTAGCACCCATGCTCTCTTTAATGATTCAAAGGTGGAAAGAAAAATCCTCAGTATTCCCTGGGGAAATTACATACATAAAATGTTTTTTTAAACAGGTGTTTTCCTCTTAGAAACTCTAATACTAAGGTAATATTTTCCATCAGTGCTCAGACTGTTTCAGGAAATACTTTTTTATGGTACCAGGATCGGCACACCATGGGAAACGCCATACAGAAATGGTGCTCACAAGTGTTTGAAAAAGGTAACATAATAATAATAATAATAATAATGGAAGTTACTATTTCCTGTATTAGGAAAATAAATATAGCACAAAGTCCACAATTAAAAGGGAAATTATGCTGCGTGATGATTTAAAAAAAGAATGGTAGCCATATTTTAATGCAATATCCAAGTTTAATTATATTGGTATTTAAGAAATATTGTCTTGAACTCTGCTAGCAAATACTTCAGTATTTTCCCCCTTCTCTCTCCCCACTAAAAGCACTTATTTTTTTATGAAAGAGACAAAAGGGCTAGAGAATTTAGCAAATATTTTAATACAAAAATAAATGTAGTTAAATTAAGAAACAATGGTTAACAGTTTGGTTTACTGAATGTAAATCCAGTTTGTGATTGCAGTTGTGAACAAGTATACAAACAACAGTGTTTGGCATTCTGTGAATCTCTTTGGAAGGTAGGTTATGTTATGTTTTGATGGAGCAAGGAATTCTCTCTTACCTCACAGACAGTATAATAAGTAGACGTCACTGAAGTCACTGGAGTTGCGCACACTAAACCAAAGCTATTTGGTTCAGTAAACAATATGCATAGGATCATATGCTTTGACTAGATGAATGTGCGGTGCTCCCATTGACTTTGCTGGGAGCTGTATGCCTGTATCCGAAACTCGACTCTCAAAGTATTAACAGAATCTTCTTGCTTGCCTCATTTATATCCCTCTACTATAAAATCAGGAATATACTTTGTGTAACCCTGTACACACTACATTCCTTAGAGCTTGTCTTCGCACCAAAATCACACCAAATTAATTTAAATGTTAAAATAAAAAGTTAAACTAGTACAGTTTTTGTGTGTGGACTCTTTTATGCCAGTTTAATGCTGGTTACATAGGTTTAACAAACCCTAGGGTAAAGAACTAATGTTTGAAGCCTTAACCAAATGTATAGGAAGTGACTCTTACTCAGGTGTTGCTTCTAACCCAGCTCCTGACCACACACAGAATTGTCTCAGCCACGTTTGGTGGTGCTTACTGTTCGTGTCTGCTGACCTGTTTGGAGTTGTAGGCTAACCCCTGAGCTGGTAAGTGCCAACTTTGCAGTGAGGACATAAGCTAAACCACTCTAGTGCTGATAATCCTTCAGTGCCTTCCCATGATTCCTCCCACTTGTCCAGAAGGACAGACAAGTTCTCTCACAACTCACCAGGAAAGAATCATAGAGCAGATCATCTTACTACAGCACAAAAAAACCACAGGATCTGCCCCCACATGCCCTAGGTACACACACTGGTTAGCACAGCACCAGTGACAACACACTAACTCGAGTACGGCTTTGCAGTGTGGCTGCTCATACCTGACCTAGATAAACCCTGATGCTCAGACCCAGGTGCCAATCATT